GGCCAGAAGCACACGCACAGACACACACATCCACACATACACACATAGACCCTTTTGGCTCTGACATGACCACAGGTGGTGACAGTATCGACTACAGGTGTGTGTCTGGGAGTATTGCTGAGTTTCTGATGACGTAGTAGAGTTGGGCATAATCATATTGTGTGCAATTAATCGTCAGAAAAATATTACCGGTTATCGATTATTTTTTTTGCACTTGATGATTAATACAATTAATGCCACCAGGCAGTCCACTCTGTGCTCCTCTCTGCTTCAAATATGACAAACATAAAAAAGGTTCTGTAATTTAGTTATTTATCAACACAATTTTTTTATTACAGAAAAGAGCTGTGAGAATTATTACTGGAAAACATTGTCGTCACCCATCAAATTCATTATGTTGTAAATTGAAAATATTGAAGTACTTTGATTTGGTTGATTATAATATTTAGGGGTGCAACGATACAGAAAATTCACAGTGTTTTCAAATACAGATCRCTGCAGTGACAGAACTCTATTTGAAAACAGACCATTTTAGTCATAACTTAAGACAGGAAGAGGCTAGTTGCATGAAACTTGAAATCCATATATTGGAAAAGATGATTAACAATTCGGCTTGGCCATAAAAGCTCTGACCTACCCGGAAAAAAATCTCTATTTTTAATCTGACTGATAAAATCAGGGCTATTTGGCTAAAAGCCAACATAAGTATCTCTGCAATGCTTTTGTAATGACAGAGTGACGTCATTCAACTCATTTATGGACTTATGTCTGTGTTTTATTAATAAAAATGAAKGTTTAATTATGAAGAAACACCAGGCAGGGGAATATTCCCCTCTGGTGGTGAAACAGATCATTTCCTGAATCCCAAACAACAGAGAGAACTCCGCCCCCTCATTTGCATATTGGACCATGTAATTAAACACCATGAAATGTAAAACAGCCTGAAATAGTAAAACAGCCTGAAATAGTAAAACGACATGAAATAAAAAGGGAGTTCAAAATAAAAGTCCCTGAAATATGTAAAGTAGCTTTACAAAATAAAAGTCCCTGAAATATGTAAAGTAGCTTTACAAAATAAAAGTCCCTGAAATATGTAAAGTAGCTTTACAAAATAAGTGTCACAAAATGAAACTACAATATGTAATAACTAACTAACTAACTAACTAACTAACTAACTAACTAACTAACTAACTAACTAACTAACTAACTAACTAAC